GAATTCAGGAGGTAGGCCTAGTTGTCGCCTGCAATGCCGTAAGTCAGCTGGTTCTTCCAAGTCGCGACTAGTGTCGGGACCTTGCTGCTGATTGCAGTGCATACAACACTACCCTGCACCTCCACCAGAAAATGTCACGTGATTACAGAATGACTAGAACGTCTGTTTACAGGAGCAGCACCGAACATTAGAGCACGAGCACTCCAACCGTCCTCTTCTTTCACACCATGGCACATACATTGGCATGGCTAAACCTCGTTCCATGCCTGTGGCAATATCAATCAATCATCGTAATTCAAGTCCTTGTCATCTCCTTTCTTATGTATTAAGATGATGTTAGCGTCCTTCCATGACTCTGGTACTCTTTCCGTCAGGAGACACCTCGTAAACAGGGTGGCTAGTTTTTCTTACACAATCTGTCCTCCATCTTTCAGCAGATCTGATGTTACCTGATCCTCACCAGCAGCTTTGCCTCTTTGCATGCTCTCCAAAGCTTTTCTGACTTCTGCTATCATTACTGGTGGGGTGTCATCTGGGTTACTGCTAGTTCTTAAGTATTAAAGTCATGGTTGTCCCGGCTACTGTACAGATCTCTGTAAAACTCCTCAACTATTTGAACTATCCTATTCATATTGGTAGTTATTTTGCCTTCTTTGTCCGTTAGTGCATACATCCGATTTTTGCCTATCCCAAGTTTCCTCTTCACTGCTTTGACGCTTCCTCCATTTTTCAGAGCGTGTTCAATTCTCTCCATGTTATACCTTCTTACATCGGATACCTTACGCCTATTAATCAACTTCGAAAGCTCTGCCAGTTCTATTTTGTCTGTTGTACTTGAGACTTGCATGATTTTATGCTTCTTAATGAGATTCTTCATTTCCTTGCCAGTGTCCTGTCTAACTACCCTGCCTCAAACTTCCACTGCACACTCCGTAATGATACTCGTCAGATTATCATTCATTGTATCTATGCTAAGGTTGGTTTCCTCACTAAGAGCCGAGTACCTGTTCTGAAGCGAGACTCTGAATTTCTGTACTTTCCCTCTCAGTGCTAGCTTATTGATTGGCTTCTTGCGTATCGGTGTCTGTCGTTCTTTTCTCAAGTCTAGGCGAACCAGAATTCGAGACCGTACCATTCTATGGTCACTGCATTGTACCTTGCCAACCACTTCCACATCCTGCACGATGCCTGGGTGTGCACTCATTATAAAGTCTATTGCGTTCTTATTTTCGCCATTAGGGCTCCCTCATGTCCACTTGCGGTTTCCTCGTTTTCGGTAGGAGGTATTCAAAATTCGTAAATTATTGCGTTCTGCGAATTCTACTAGTAGCTCTCCTCTGGCGTTTCTAGTACCAATGCCATAATCTCCTACTGCCTGGTCTCCAGCCTGCTCCTTCCCTACCTTTGCATTAAAGTCTCCCTTCAGTATTGTATACTGTGTTTTTACCTTACTCATTGTCGATTCCACGTCTTCATAGAAGCTTTCAACTGAGGCGTCATCATGGCTGGATGTAGGCAGGTAAGCCTGTACCACCTTCATCTTGTATCTCTTATGCAGTTTAATTACGATACCTACCACCCTTTCAATAATGCTATATAGTATTCCTCTATGTTGCCAGCTATGTTTCTGTGAATTAGGAGCCCCACTCCCAGTTCTCATCTGTCCTCCTAACCTCACTGTGCCCTATTATATCCCATTTAACACCCTCTAGCTTCTCTAATAGTACAGCTAGACTTCCCTCACTAGAGAAGGTTCTAGCGTTAAACGTTGCCAAGTTCAAGTTCCAATAACGGGCTGTCCGGATCCAGAGATTCTTAGCACCCTCTGCTGCGTTGCAGATCTGACCGCCGCCGTGGTCAGTTGCTCCGCAGCTGCTGGGGACTGAGGGCCGGGAGTTATTTGACGTATGCATGTGGGAGGTAGTGGCCAGATACTGCACCAGGGTGGCCAATCCTTCTCTGGTGAGGGAGTGCGTTCCCGGTGGTGGTTACCGGTGAGGCCGCACCCCAGGCCTCGTAATGCAGTTCCATCACCACACGGATTTTTTTTTATCCGGTTGGGAGCTGCGCCGGGATTTGAACCACGGACCTTTTGCATGCGAGGCGGATGCTCTAACCACTACGCCATCGCTGCTTTATTAATGATGTGAATGCATTCAAAACAGAAGACTTGAAAGGAGAAGCCGAAGTGTAAGATCTGCTTATGAGCAGCGAATCGGTAAGTTCAACTATTAAATTATTTGCTGCAAGTTTTCCAAGTGGCATGGGCTTTCTTCGTCCTCTTCTGCTTCTCTCTCAGAACTTGTGCACCAGTGTTTTCTGCACGGTATGCTATAGCTTCAATAGGCGAGAGAACGAGTGCATAGATGAAGATAAAGGAGAAATAAAGATAAGAGAAAATGAAAAATTTTTGGCAGTGCAAGACTCAACCTTCAGAACAAGTGATCCGAAGGTGAGTGTCTTAACCACTTGGCTGTCTAGGCATGCTAGCAGAGCACAGCACATTGTTTTGTGTAGTCATAGCCTCCTATGGTGTAGTATAGCAAGATTGTGGAAAAGGGAAGTGGGGGTGAGGAGCAAGGGGAGTAAGGGAGAACAACTACAGAGATGGAAAGAAAGATATAGAATAAAGGGGGAGGGAAAGACAAATACAAAAATATAGAAAGAAAAAACTATATCCATGCAAAGGGTAGAAAAGACAGGTTAGAAGACAAAAACCAAGCCAAACCAGAACCAGCTGGCCTACCAGCTATGCTGTGACCTGATCTTGCACTTAGTGCAAGCTTATTTTTCCTTCACAAAAATATTAAATCACCTTTTTCCATTATATTAACCACTGGTTTAATGGCCTATCCCCCTTCATCGGTACGTGCCAAAGCATATATTCAAACAAGCAAGCACCATTTTTTTTAACCCAGCGGTGATGTCGCCCGCGCCCATTGTCTGGCCCTGAAACACTTTTTTAAGTAATCATGGAATTGATTCACTGAAAAAGAGTATTGCCTCACAAATTCAACGCCGCAAAATTTTTAAGACTCCTGTCCGGTACGAGCGGAGTTACAAAGATGTGCCACTCGCTGCAATCGCATTCTCTCTTCTCTCGTCCCGACAAAAGCATTGGAAGCTACGGAGAAAGGGATGGAAGGAGCAAGCAAAAAACGTCACGCGCGTCTTGTGACCTTGAGCACTTTTCTTTTTTTTTTCTTTGAATACGTGATTTTTAAGTGGGATCGGGCGTGGACAAGTGATGACTTCCCACGGCGATCTCTGTAACGACCAAGCGCGCCATGTTCAAATCAGCCAATGGCTGATAGATCGGCCTACGACAAATGATTTTTGGGCTTATTGCGTGTTTGTCGAGAGAAGAAAAAGGAATTCTAGCTGACTTTGATAACTTATTGTGAATTCCAGGCCGCATGCGGCGCTGTAATATTTGGCTTGCGTGTTGTCGGGAGCCTCTACTACCGATCGGCAGCATTTTCTGACTATGCTCAAAAAGTGTTTCAGGGCCCCTTTAAGTGATTATGGAGGTACAAATTATAAAGGAAGTGTATGTGTAGTGCTCATAACAGCCACAGCTTTCTATTTTGCCAAAATTTATATATATATATATATATATATATATATATATATATATATATATATATATATATATATATATATATACATACTTGCGTCGTGATATTACCTCTAAGATGAACTATAAAATTTTGCATCTTTAAAAATGAACTTCGTAATCATATGGTGGTTTTGGGACACAAAACCCACATATAAATGGAAAAATAACTTGTGATGGGCTCTTAGTCATGCAGTAAAGCTTGCGCAATGTGACAAAATTGCAGGAAATAAGAAAATAAAATGCTTATATCTCCATGTACATATGCATGGTAATTCAGCAAATGCACTACTTATAGCATGTCGCTGCTATTTTGTAGCTTTATTATTATGCACAATTTGTGTAAAGAATAAGGCAATAGGGGCACATTGGTTCAAGTATACCTTCTCTTTTTATTCACTTTCAGTGGCCCAACTGCTGCCTCAGTTATTCATAAAATTTTGTTAATTTTAAAGACCATGTTAAGTATGAATTGAGAGCCCACCCTGCCAAAACTACGCAACACTTTCTCTATAATACTTTTGTGCAGCGAAGTGCCACCATGTTTAAGCGTAAGCACGCTTTTAATACTCGCTTAAGCACTTACAAGTGCTCATGTGTTAAGTTAATTGATTGAATAGAGGTTGTTTCGACAATCACATTTACTTGCAGCTACATGGCGCATCTTACGCAGAATAAGTGACAACTAAATAATATTTAATAATAATAATATTTAATAATAGATAATAATAAAATAATATTTAATAATAATAATTTTTAATAGTTAACAACTAACTAATAATATAAACTGAAGGAGTTCTTCCTTCCGTCGGCTGCAGTGACAGGCTTTACACACCTACTGCAGTTGCATCTTTACCGACCACCACTGGCGTAGCCGGGGGGGGGGGGGGGGGTTCAACATCGTCTCTTATCACCTTCGTAAAATGTTAATCTTGCATGTGTATGACACACACACATGCAAACGCACGCACGAACATAGACGCACGAATCTACATAAATTATCACTGACACTACCTCCCCCTTTTGTAAAAAAAAAAAAAAAAATCGGGATATGCTACTACCCGCTTCCTTTCGCGTCGACACAAGAGGCCGGATATCTTAGCAGCGTTACACAATGTACAATGCGACGCGCAGCACTTATTCGAATTTTCCCGCGCGCTGGAGTGACAATAACGGACAACAACCATGTCCAAGCGGTTGAAAAACAGCCGGCAAGTCTGAGCAAAACGTAGGCTATGTCTACATCCAGCACAGACCTTTACAAGTTAAAAATTTACTGCACAGTTCGAGGTCTATCACGGCAGCGCAGTGGTGCGCGCTAGCAGTCATGGGTTGACAACAGCTATCATCATCAGTGCGCGTCAAAAGCAAAACCATAACAAACATTTCGGCAAAAGCCAACGAGTGCGACTACTGGGCGGCCCAACGCGAAGGGCTGCCCAATGGTGTGGGTGCGCAAGACAAAGCGAAGAAGCGTCGTTGTTTGGCCCGTGTGGATGTCGCGCGGGCTGATGCCACCGCACCGATGCCATGCAGTGTAGTGCCGCTGCCGAGCCGCCGGATGAGGAGAGACTACTTCGCACGCACGGTCTTTTAGGACTCAGAGATTTCTGTGCCAAGAAGGGTACGGTCAGCCTGCGACAGCTCGACAAGCTCGCGCTGGCCGGCTTGGCCCGGGAGTACGTCGATTCGTCCCGTTCCAGGCAGGGCCCGTTGCACAGCGCACGCTCGCTGCGACGCTTCCAGGTTGGCCTCAACAATTACCTGCGATCTGTGTACGGCGCCGATTTCGATCTCAGCCGCGACCCAGCGTTCGCGCCACTGGCGGTTCCCTCTGCGTCGGGGGCAGCGAACGCGGGAAGAATGGGCCAGTCGGCGGATACCGTGGTCATCACGCCCGAAGACTTGACAAAGATAGGACAGTATTTCTGGCGTGTGATTAACACCCCGCGCGGTTTGCAGCAGAAGGTGTGGTTCGATCTCATGATCCACCTTGGTTCGGATGGCATAGAGAACCAGCACGCTATGCGCAAAGACTCTTTCATGCTTCTGAAGTCGCCGGCCGACGGACGGAGACGGCTGCAGTGGAAGATACCGGGCGGAGCTTCCATTCCGGACGACCCGGAGAACCCGCTGTGCCCAGTGCGGACGTTCCAGCTTTACCTGAGCAAGTTGAACGTAGCCTGTCCCGCGCTTTTCCAGCGGCCGCACGACGGCATCACCAAGACGTCGCGCTTCTGGTTCCACATGTTCCCACTGAACAACACCATGCTGGCTCTCATGATGTACGACATCTCCAAGGACGCCGGCCTTAGTCGCGTCTACCCAAACTTCGGCACACAGGTAAAGTCTTGGCGTTTCTGGCTGGCGAGTCGGCCGCGAACTTCCCTGCGCTGTACACGGGTCCCTAGGTGGGCTAGTTCGTGAACATTCTGGCAGAACAGCTTTGCTTGACAGTGCCCAAGTTCTCAAGGAATATCGCACATGATTCGCTAAAGGCGAGCAGCTTGTGTTAGTGCGCCATCAGTAGCACTCTGATAAAGGAATTAGCTACCTTGAGTCACATTTGGGATAGTGGAGCCTGCTGTCACATTTTCTTGCTTTATTGTTCTTGGCGGCAGCTTTTTACTCTTGTTATCACTTGTTTACAAACCTTTATTGTTAGACTTTGGTTCTTGGTGTTGATTTTTGAATGTCCTGTTTTAGCTCTTTTAACCAGTTTTGTACCGACTGCGAAGACACGCCCTTTTTGCCATCTTTTTGCTCGTGATTACCATTGAATGAAATTTGCTTTTCCTTGCACCATGTAAACCCCGATCAAAAATGCCAGTTACAGGCCAGCCGAGTCACTCGATAGCCTTTGGGTCATTTTTCGCATTTCTGTGTGTCAGTGTTCCCCGGCGTATATATTCTCTGCTCTGCCTTTCAAATAATAAAAAAAAAAACATTCTATTGTTGCAAAATCTCTGGTGTTTTCCAGGTGCTACCAGAGAAGGGGCGCTTCTACGAACTGGCGCGGTGCAGCCGCCCGTCCCTGGAGAGCGCCCGCAAGGAGCCCGGCTGTGCATACAAGCTATGTGCCCAGTGCCTCACGGTATGTCCTGTACAGCAGGCATGCAATTTTGAACCTAGATCTAGTACCTTACATCCACAAAAGCGCACACTGCAGTGCGGCCGTCTTATAACTGCAATAAAATATCCATGGAACACCGGGTGTTGCTGGAGTCAACTTCTCTACAAGTGGTCTCGTCTTCAAGCATTCCTTCAAGTCTCAGCCTTGAAAGCAAGACCGCTTGTTGAAAAGTTGGCTCTAGCGACACCTCGTGAACCAACGATTCTATCTTCTCTTAAAGCGGCACTGCAACACTTTTTCATCTGCATTCTGCAGTGCTGTAGTGCATGTAGGGCTGAATGCTGAAATGATTGCATAAAGAATTACTTAAATTAGTGCACGGTAACAAAAGCTATTAGTCTTCAAATTTCAAAACCCTAACAGATGACGAGAGAAAAACATTTCCTTTGTATCCTTTTGTATGCGAAGAAAAAACATCCTTTTGTTTGCGAGGAAGTATAAAGAATGCTTTTAGAATTTTTAGAGCACAATAGAGTGGCCTATCTGAAACCATATGAATATTACATGCAACTTGTGCCAAAATAATAAAAACTCTTGGCCAATGTGGTCACGTGAAGCATCACTTCCCACTTTAGTCTGAAACCAATGTAGTTTCTCCATTAGAATGAAATTATAACAGTTTTGTTTCTGGCGTTGCCTCTCGCGCAACTTTATCAGTGTATTCCTCAGTTCAAGAAGATGCGATGAAAAAAAAAAAAAACCCATGCTTAATTTATATTGCAGGGCTCCTTTAACATCTACCTTATTTGGATCATGGTTGGATAGAGAAGTGAACGAGTATCACTTTTAGTGAATATTAGCCTATGCTGTGCATTTTTGGTCAGCAAGAAGTGCAAGGGGCATAGTGATGTATAATCTTAAGAGAGCAGAGGCTTGGAGAGGTGAAAAGCCTAAGGGATGCTGCTGGATCTAACATTCCAGCAAGGACACTTTGTCAGGGATGCTGTTAAGGACTATTTCCTTCGATGCAATGCTTACTCCATCAGCATTCCTCTCTTTAAGGAGTATGATGGCGACATATTCTTGATTTGTCATTTTGGACATTCAATGCTCTTTTGTGAAGACCTCATGGCCAGTGTCCAACCTATGGGCAATGTGCACTGAGCAACTACTTGCATTGATCTTGTGAATATATCAAAAATCGAAAACAAAAACTTTAAAAAGTCACAGTACAGGTGCTCATCTTGAATTTTTTGTTGCCCTCATTTTCAAGAAGGCTCGGTGTTACGTATGTAGTATAGCGTCTCACTTCAACTTTACCTGCCAATTTTCGTGGTCGGTTAGTGGCTATGGTGTTTCACTGCTAAACGCGAGTGTGGAGTCAACTCCTGGACCATATCTCAATGGGGTCAAAATGTTAAAACACCCTTGTACTTAAGTTCAAATCAGATAAAGATAGATAGGTGGTCAAAATTTAACCATACTGCTGAGTGCCTCAAAATCGTGTAGTAGTCTTGGCATCTAAAACCTTAGAATATAACTTTTCCTACTGCTGTTGCTTTGCAGCCCGTGCAGGTAGCGAGTGCTGGATCGAAGGGAATCCTTTGTTCAGTGCCGTGCTTGGAGGCCTTCATGCGTGCGAAAGAGGCACGGCAGAATGTGCGCGTCTCCTTCCGGGACGGCACTCGTGTGCCTGCCTACACCCTTCCTACTGGCCAACCACTCCAGTCACAGCCGCAGCCACAGCCCCGAGACGAGCTGGGCCGAAACCTTCCGGAAGATGTCTACAGCTTCATACAAGAAGTTGCACGCATTCAGGCCCTCGGACATACTGTACGAACAGGTATGATGATGAATCTGCAGGTCATGCCGTAGAACACTCACTTTCTTGCAGGAGAGTGTCTACTTTAGTGTCGATCATTAGGCCTCAGGGCTCAAGTCTAAAGCTAGTACTTGCAAAAGTGCATCCTAGCTATCTCGAGTGGGCTGTCGATCTGGGTCAAGAAAACTTGCCTTTGGGAATGTGTTTGCTTTTAAGCTAGTCTCGACTGCATGCATCTTTGGCGTGCAATTGGCTTTCACACAATAACTGCAAAGCACGGGAAAGGACAAGGACAACAGGAAGAACACCACACGGTACTGTTATGTCACACCAACAAGGCCAAACGTCAGCATTGGCTTTCACTGTTCCCTTCCATCAAACACCCCATTCGTCATGTGCAATTCGTCTAAGACCTAAAACAACAGGTCACTCATTACAGCAGCTGCCTCTGCTGCATAATGCTACTACTGGCAGTGCCTAACGAAATAACCACTCGCACAGACAGTACTTTCTCCTGATGTATAGCAGCCTCCACTTGACAGCACAAACGCAAATCGCAGCACACTACTGCTGTGCTATCAAACTAGGTTAATTGGTTATGCCATCAAGCATTGACATAACAGTCTCTTAATTATACCATTTCTGAAAGTTACTTCAAACACTGACAGTCGCCAGCTACTGGTGGGGGTAACTAAATAATTATAATGCCATCAATGAGGGATGTACGAATATTTGAAGTTCGAATATTTTTCTAATAGTGTTTGATATTCAATTCGATTTGCTACTGTGATTTTACTATTCAGACTAGTTTTAACTTCTCAAAGACGAATGCAGTCAACATCAAACTAAATATCACCCATTCAGACTTGTAATAGGCTTCACCTCAACACATTGTCGCATTGCAGCCAAGCTGTCCTTTTTGGTTCCGCTACGGTTATAAATGCATCGACTCAAGAAAACGCTGATTCCAACATAGAAATGATAGATGTGGCAAAGGTGAAGGCTCATTAATGCTGTTGCAGAGGCCGAAATTTATGCAGGAAGTATGAAAAATTGGACGCCGAAGATTTTTAGCATTCCAAAATTTCAAATGTTCTTGTATGTTCACGTCTACGAAGCAGACTTGTAACTCCTCACTTGAAGGGACCCCAACCTTGTATGCCACATCAGTTGGGCTTCACAGAAGTTGAAAGAGGAGGAGAGGCTGAGAAAATAGCATCATTGCCTTTCACGTGCAGAGTGCTGTCAGCAACACTTTGGTGTCACCAAATCACGTATTAATACAATTTGGCTTCTGCATTGAGTCATTCTTGATAAGACAACTATGAATTCCTGCCAGCTATACATCAACCTAGCAAAAAGAAACACTTTCTTGTTGCTACTCGTAAGAATATGCTTAGGAACCCTGTGCAACTTTTTTTTTCTGCAATTTCGGTTTGAAACATTAGGAAAAACATTCTAGAAATACCCGAGAAATATTAGAAAAATATTTTATTCAATTCATAGTCATGTTACAATGTTTGAATTCGCTTCGCACCCAGAATTTTGTGATTCGAATCGCTCTACTATTAAGGAAAGGCGATGTTTACTTTGTAGTGTCATTCTCTGCACTGTTTGTTACAGAGATGAGTGAACCTCAAATGATGTAAAACGAATGGCGCATGAACTGAAACAGTTGCAATATGAAATGTTTCTTCAATTGATGTCTGCAGGTATCATAAGTGTTCTGTGGTTCAGTGTTCTTATATTTGCCAGCACACGTCTGAATACCCCCCTTGCTGCCCTGCAAAAGGGTCAGGCAGCAACAAAAAAAATTAGGGGATCTTTAAACTATGCCTTTAAGAGTTGAATGCAATAGCGATATTTACTACCTAGTGCATACTGAGTTCAAAATGGCTTATGTGGGAGAAGCTTTCGCATATGGCTGCATTCTGTGTAATGGGTAGCAGGCTTTAAACCACGGGCAATTGTGTGTGTGACATATCTTGGAGCTTGCTATGCACCCACTACGTGGCCTTAAAGGGCCAGTAAACAACCCTGAGGTCCAAAAAGTTTTAAAAAGAGATATATGTGCAGTTTTTCTTTGCGAACATGCTGCCGCAAGAGTTTTGCGAATACGTGCTATATTAAGGAAGTTACAGAGGCTAAGGGGGGACATGGGTCTTTAAAATTTTTTTTCTGTTTTTGGCTCAATCTTGACCAAACCTCACCATCTTGGACAGTTTTTCATGCGGATTTCAAATATGTAATTGTTTCTGAAATAGCCTCAGTGGATAAAAAGATATTAACATCTGTAATTTAATTAATTATGCACTTCATTGGGGGCTTTTTGGCAACTTAATCAAGCCAGATCCAAAAAATAAATGCATAGCCCCAATGCTGAGGGCTTTCTGTATGGGGTGATGCTATTTTTATTAATTTTTAGGCATTATATAGATAAGAAAACAGACCAGCACTTACAATGGATATTCTGTTCAATTTTCGCTCATTACTATCCATAATTGTAATTAACAGTATGCTTCTAGAGTAATCAAAATAGCATCACCCCATAGGTAATGTTATTACAAATAAAATGATACCAAGTTTGTCATTCTCAATCAACAGTAACATATAAGAAAAACCCCTAAGGTTAAGTGTGGTGCACAAAAACATCGAACTGAGAAAAACGCATTTAAAGTTTCTAATAACTTTAACTTTTGTTAAAGTGAAGCTAGAGCAATAAAAATGGCACCGTTGTATAGCTCTACATTATGTGAGTATGGCTGTACCAAATGTGTCAATGCATCTTCCCAAAATATTTGCCACAGCTCATTTAAAAACTGTGTACTGGCCGTTGAATCAGTATAAGGAACCCAGTCTACAACTTTGTGGCTGTTCTAGTGCACTGAAAACCAAAGGAAGACACATGTTATATATAAAAACATCGCCCTTTTATACATAAAACACTATTTCAAGTAAAACACACATTTTTGTCCCAGGCATCCTTACAATTCTACAGCATGCCAGGGCTGTATGCAGTGTCTATTGCAGGCTTATGTCGCTTTGCAAGTGTTGCCTTTGTTGCTCTGCAGGTGCTCCCTCCGCGATTTGTGAAGCCTGGTTTTATCCTTTTCAAGGCTACGACGCATGAAGAGATTTCCTGCACTGTAGCCTAGCTTCTCAGCAATTGCTTCATTGCTCTTCGTGGCCCCCTGATTAAAGCGGCTGATGGCTTCAGCCACTGCTCTTTCAATGCTGCGCAGTGAGGCATGGGTGGTCTTGGGGACTTGTTGCCAAATTGTGGCGTGTAAGCTCTCACTAGGATTCTGGGTGATCCCATCACTGCACCTTTCTAACAATGCTTTGTCGCTAATGCGCTGCCTCGGCCATCTCCGGCGTTCTCGGCGGCGCGCAGGCCGCTCCCTTCTGCCGCGCATTCCACGCTCGCTTTCGTTTCCTGCCGAAAGCTTGATGAGTGTTCTTCTTCAGGCGAGCTTCCCAAGCCATGCCGGCAAAATGCAGAAAGACGTATACGTCGGCGACGTCGGTGCACGAGCGGGTAGCAGACGAGATAACACGCACGAGAGCAGGCGCCGACGGAGCAAAGCCAAACAAACAAAAAAAAAAGAGCGAGCAACCGTGGCCGCGCCGCCGCGCCAGCCAATGGTAAGCGCGAGACGGGGGGGCTCGCCAGCGCGCGCGCGCTCTAGCCAATCAGCGGTCCGGCAGACGGCTTCGCAAAACGGGGGAAGGCAGTCGTTGTGTTGGAGCTACGCCATTTTGAGAGCCCGCAAAACGCGCACACAGGAACCAGCTTCAAAACAGGCCCAAGATGGCGCCGATCCGCCGGCTGCTTCGCTGGCGGCGCGCGCGGGAAGTTCGAACAAATTTTCTGTTTTGCGGGTTGTTTTGCGACTCCCGTGATGGTTTGAAAATAGATTTTAACCTATTTTTTTATCGAATTTAGCGTTAATAATTTGAGGAGAGGTGCTTATAGGTTCAAAGATTCGAAAAATGCGTTTTTCTCAAAATCGATTTTTTGGCCATTTTTTACTTTTCTAAGACCCGCGTCCCCCCTTAAAACATCGGTCTAAGCTGGTTTCAAATTTTCGCGCGGCCTCGCCCCCCTTCTTCCTTCCATGAAGGGGAAGGCGAAGCCCATCGTCGTGACTTTGCGCACTTCGGCAACGTCACACCACGTCAGCGATTGACGTCATCGGTGAACTCGCAACGCACTTCCGCTTGCTGCGAAGCGTGGTTGTTGGTTTACCGTTTGCCGCACCAGCTGCGGGTCAACTGTGTAAGCGTCAGGTGCGAAGTGTCGACCACAAACGATCAGGGTCCCCACGTACGTCGCTGGACGGCCTTTAGCCATGCAGCGCGCAGTGCCCCATCGTGAGGCACCCGGGGTCGATGATTCTCCGCTGCCCAGTCGCTCGATTTGCAGCCGACGACAGAGCAACTCTTTTTGCCCGTGTTGCTCATGTCAACGGCAAAGTTCGTTCGTACGTGCGCACAGGCACTGTAGTTGAGCGAGGAGTGTACACATGCAGGTGACAACTGCGAGGCTGGTTCTTTCACCGCAGTGCCAAGAAACAAGGGGCAGTTTCGTAGCTGTGGGTGGGAACAGGAACTGACGTTGATTTCACTACTGTTTTTTCACACCTGATCTAGACCAATCGGCGTGCTACGTCACGTCGCCGATTGCCGAGTTAACGTCACTGCACGTGCAAGGGGGTCGGTCAGATGTAGGAAAGATGCGCGGGAGTCGTTTTTCAATATAGAGGCTCTGCGTAACGCGCAGCGCTGTAATATTCGGAAAACGTGATCGCTGAAGCCTGATCTACGAATTGCCGAGCTTTTATGGGGGGTGTAAAAAAAAAGCCGGAGCCTGTTTACTGGCCCTTTAAGAGAAAATGTGCAGTAACGTGTGTGCCTTTTGTAGTGGGTGGCCTGCTTTGGACCATAAAGTCATGATAATCTCACGTTCTGACACTTGATCGCAATGTACGCTTGTACCATGCATTATTACTGCGATATACATGTCGCATTGTGAAGCATGTAAGCGGACTCTCAGTAAACTAAAATTTGTTAAACGCAACAGCTGCTTAAATGCAACAACTGCCTTTGATATGATTGGTTTCATACCTGAATGCTGCAACTCAGTTGAACTCTCGGTAAACAGGACTCCTGTTGAATGTAATGCATTTTGCTGGTCTCTTCAGGTTCCATTTAACGAGAGTCTACTGTATACAGGACGTGGGCGTTTACGAAGCATGAAAGTTACTTTCACTGCATTTCCAAGCAGAGAAAGTTACTTTGACTGCATTTCCAAGCAGAGAAAGTTATTTTCACTGTATTATCAAGCAGACACTTGGATGTGTAATAGAACACCCACTTGCCACGCAAACGGCTTGGGTTTGGTCCCCAGTCAGACCCAGAAATTTTTATTATTTATCTAATTTGTATCTTTCTCGATTTTTCGGTCAGGCACAGGATGGTGACCTTTCGCTCAGAACCAACAACACCGACGCTGACACCGGAATTTTTGCGAAACGTGTACTTTAACGTTGTCTTGTTAAAATGCCCACACAATGTATTCAAAGTTGCTAACATTAAAGACACAGTCGTGAATGGAATTCCTTGCTTGGCTAAGTGTTTCCAGGCAGGAAGGCATAAGCTACTGTGAGTGTTTTGCAATTCGAGGGAAACACAGCTATACTTCTACTAAAGATGAATACAATAAGGCTGTGCTATCATTTGTGTTTGAAATGTAGTGTACGTAGTACAAATACACCCAACAGTATTTGACATAGCACAATGGCACACGCGCATTTTGCTATTGATTACAGTGAATTGCAGCGAATGTTGACATAGCTGGCACTGGTTGAGATGGGTTCTCGTATTAAAAAGTGAAGTTGGAATGCATAAAAATACTAAAAGGAAATGTAAGACTCTTGGATGTTGGTTGTACAAAATATATTCCATTGTTGGCATCACTTTCTGCCGGTTTATAGATGTTAGAGTGATTAAAATTAGCCACAGGTCTTGTGAGGGTTATATTATAATACAGGTGCATAAATTTGTTTATAGAAAGCTTAGGCTGAACTGTTTACTCATTTGTAGAAGCCCTGAAACAGCTTTTTCTAATGGTGTGATATGCTTTGGAACTAGTACATAGAAGTGTGGCAGCTTGGGCTAGTTGGTATGGCATGACGATAGTTATAGCACGAGAACAAACCAACGACACAGAGACAAGAAGGACACGAAAGACACAAGCGCTCGTGTCTTTCGTGTCCTTCTTGTCTCTGTGTCGTCATTTTGTTCTCGCGCTATAACTATCGTCATGCCTAGTACATAGAATGCACTTGTGAAATATGGTATTCTGAAAAAAGTTTTAAAAAGTAAGACTTAGTACGAATAAAGTTAACATTTACCATGTGCACCCTATGTCATCCATTTCTTTGAGAAGTTCTGGATTGGTTGCAGCTCTTTATTGAAATTTATAGTGTAGGGAGACCGCTGACGGTCTCCCTACACTATAAAGGAACCTCTTGTTGGGCTAGTTGGTAGATGATTTCCAAAAAGCAATTAGGGTGCAAACACAACACATTTACACACACCTAGGCACCAAATACCTACAGCGCTCAAATGAAGCACACTCCGTGTGTTTGCGCTGTGATTATTTCTTTAGGAAACCTAGCACTCTGTTTGCAAAGAGGGTGTTTCAGCTTTGTGCTGGCCTGTGAACACCACGGACTGCTTCGTCTTCAGTGGTGGTTCAGCGCCCTTTTCAACCAATGCTTAACTTGTAATTCAGTGTACTATTAATGCCCTATTGGCACTGCATCCCCATTCGAATGGTTGCAGATGGGCTGCCCATGGTATTCAAGCAGGACGGCTCCAATGCACAAGCTCGGTCGCTGCCCATAGAGGTGAGCAAGGTTGCTGTGTTCACTGTAGTTGCAGACGGGCAGTCCTCGTCAAAATTTTCAAAGCCCTATTGTAAGAGAGCTCTGTTGGCAGGCTCTGTTGCTAAGCTCTTTATTATACTCATGCTTTCAAGCTTAGGACAGCAGAGTTCGCGCCCTTTTACTTTGTTTTGGTAGCAAAGAATCTTATGCATGAATTTGGTGCTTGACTAAGAGGGATGTATGGTCGTGGGGAAGACGGCTTTGAAACCTTTGGCAATAGACTTAATTGCAGGAAACTCATGGCCACCCTAAACTGCTGCTGCATTACGAACTCAATGATGTGTACTAATTTTACATCAAGGCTGAGCTGATATATGCCTGTATCCTATTTTGGAATGTATCAATGCTGAGATAAAAAAAAACAATTTAGTGCAATCTGCCTGGTTACCAACTGATGATAAGTTAATCAAGTTCAAAAACGCAAGTCATGGTAAAGTACACTGAGCAGGGTATATATAATAAATAGCCATAAATTTGTTTAAGCATGCTGAAAAAAGTCATAATCTTGATTGCTGGGAAATCAGAATTCCTAGGCCTCTAGGGTTGGTGAAATCGTCAGTTGCATAACCCTAAATTTTTATACGAAGCTTTCAACCTAAACACTTTGCTGGAATTCCTGATGAATTTGCTGCTTCACCTGAAAAGATATTGCCTTGCGCTTAGTCGGCACCATCTTCACGAAAATATGGATAGGTAGAAACTTGGGTTGGAAACTTGCATGTAGCTGCAAGTAGCGTGGTTGTGACCAAACAAGGCCCTCTCCTTTCTTTCCAGCAAGTTTTAGAGCAACGTTGCCACATGCAATGCCCAGTGATCCCACTCTTGCGCCAACTACGCCAAAGTGCACCAAATCAGATTTACTGCCCCATCCTGATGATATCAATGGGAATAGCACCAGACTGCGCCAAAGTCGGATTTGGGATGGTCTATCACCGGCAATAGCCACGCCGACGCGTCAACACATGTGCAGCTTGTTCTTGGGGCGACCAAAGTCACAATCACGTAGCTATTTTATTACGCTGAATAAACAGTGGTCGTGCGTGTGTCCTAAAATCCACGATGCTATGTTTAAGCCAACACAACTCTGTTGTACAAGTCCGCTTAACGGCGAAATGCGCTCTCCGCAGGGGCTTTTGACGTCTAGTCCAATCGGTAGAGCGAAACTGTGGCGGCGATTCATCAGCGGATGATGTCCGTTCCAGGAACGCTGCTGATAGCTCGTTTGAAGAGTTGAGTGGCATGTAATAAACAAATTATCACTAATAACTGCACGCGTGCCGCCAGAATGTCTGTCACGTCTATGTGTGGACATTGCGATTTAATTTACCGTGCTTCGCATCCGCAGAAGAACACGTAAATGGTGGGAACGGATTGACACTTTTCCTCTAATATTCTTTATCTATGGATTATCACACAGAAGAGCTGTTTCGTAATTCCTTCCACCAGCACGTACATCTGCGTTTATAATCACTGCGGCGGTAAAAGCCCCTGAAAGACCCCCTGCCCTTCCACACTCGAGGTTGCTAGGGTCTGAGTTGAAAACTCGCGTGCTTTCTTTTTAAATATAATCCCACTTATAAAAGCATGCCTCCTGGTCGGAGCAGCCGCAATTCGGTTTTAATACGCGGAGTTATAGTAAGGCCATAGCTAGTGGCTCTTGTGTCAGAAGGCATGTGAAGCGGCTTTGTCTTGTTACACGTCCGCCTCTCGCTTCACGGCATCGCACTTATTGCTTCGTATTGAAGGGAGGGGGTGGAGAGACCGGAGGCTGCTGCGTCACTTGAAGTAGCTCGCGGGCTCTCTCGAGGCATAATGAGACTGCTCGTGAACTTTCTGTGCTACTAACTTCCGCTTCGCGTTTAGATAACTGACAGCACGGAAGCTTCCGCAACTAGAGTGATCATTGTCCCTTTAGCCAGCATTCTTTTGAGTTATGCGATACCACCAATATCGGATCTAAAAGATACAATTTGTTAGTTTCACTTATGCTCTTAGCAATGACCGTGATACCAATAAGTGGTATTGTTATACCAAACAATAATGCTTGACATCATCCGTGAGAAGCTTTAGCGGCAGGGTCGCAATTTTCATGGTCCACGCACTCGGAAGAACTTGCTGCATGCGCGGTGTTCGATACCCGCGACTTGGGCTATTAGAGACCCCCGAAACATCTCTTGGACGCCGATGCATGTACAGATGAAATCATACTTGTCTAGGTGCCAGCCGGTTGTTACAGCTGGCGTTTTCTTCAGAAATATGTAAAGAGAGACTCCATAATGCTACCAAGCATGATCGTACTGCGTGTTAGGCCCTTGTGCTGTAATGCAAGCATCAACGGAAGCTTGTAGGTAACGTGAGATAGAAGCCGCGGCTACTAACAGTGTCGACAGGCACGCGCTCCGCTGCTCTAGACCAGCTTGATTCTATCTGTACAGCACAAACGGCGAGTACGAATGGATCTCTGAAATGGCGCGACGATGGCGTGGTCACCGTTTTTTCAAGGCTCAGTGCCGCTCTAGAAAGCGAAGCACTTTCTGCACAGGCTGTTTGTGTTTATAGTACAAGGCGGAAGGGTATACCAACCGTAAAGTCAAAGTTCATAACAACGCCCCTTTCTTCGTGTTTCTATCTCTTTCCTGTCCCTTGGACACAGGCAACGCGTTTCTCTCTGCTTGAGTAAGAATCGATTGGAGGTCGGCGGGTGGGTATAATGTTATCGCATCCAGCCTCCGTGCAAAAGAGATAGGTCGGCTCTTCTTATCTCTGCTTTAGCTGTGTTTGTCGCCCCCACTCGCACGCTTTTACCCGTGTGTAAAACAGGATGCGCCGCGGGATGTTATCGATGGATTGGGACATTAGGCAAAACATGACGGCCAGTGGCTTAGCCAGGGCAGGGGGGGGCAGGGGGCACATCGGAAGCGTGCGTCTCCCCCCCCACCCCCCACCTCCGAAGTTGTTTTCGCCATGGCATACATAGCGCAAAAGTAACCCTTTGCCTGCCCCCCCCCCCCCCCCTTCAGATCAAGTGCAACCCCCTCCCAAATTAAAAAAATTTTAGCTATACCGCTGGCAACAGCAAAAACCAGTCAAGAATGTCCATATATTGCTACCTTATTAAAAACAAAATGAGTCTTGCCTTCGAGTTGTCTTAGACGTATGCCTAAGGTTAAAAAAAAAAAGGAAAAGCCAAACTACCATCCCCGTTAATTTTTGTGCACTGCTTTCTAGGGGACACGGTAGGGGGCTTTTTGGAGTGTAAACAGAACGTCCTAGCCACATAAAATATTGCTGCAAAGGGAAAGTGAAGTTTGTTAAATTGGGTAGTTTCAGCACAGAGAGGAGTGCTGTAGATGGCTGGATTTGTGAGACTATAGCTGAATGAGGTCATATTATGCCCAGCAGTCTAATCAGTTGTGAAGAAAAAGAACCTTTTTTTATTCTTGAGGTCATCTTAGGGAAATGCGCTTGGGACTGAGTGAGTCTCTAGCGTTGTACGTCACAGCTTTTGTCTACCACATCTGCTGATAGCCGCATAGGTGTATTTATATTGATATTTCATGAAGTACAATTTTATTCAACCAGCATTCTGTTTATTTGCTACGGGAATAATCACTGAACAAGTTTTCCCAGAATGCTCGACAGCATGATGCTATTATTTTTGCATCATCAACTGAAACGGGGAGCACTTCTAAGATGATTAACTCCGTGAAATTTGCTGTGAATCTAAATATTTCTAGCTCATCACAAGAGCCTCAGAATCATTTTCATGTCCTTGAATGTAAATGTAGCTTGCTTCTCCTCCAGGTTTTGAAGTTAGCTGCTCCATGTTGCTCCAAAATGGACAATTTTGCTGCTCCTGATTGCTCCGAAATAGAAAATTTTACTGCTCCAAAGTGCTAAACAAATTCAATGCAAAAGTTATCTAAATCAAGCTTATTCTTCAACATTAGTATTTGTTTTTGTAAATTAAGCTAATTAGTTATTTCAAAAATGACCTATTTCTAAACATTTTCAGATTATAATCAAGTTCATTTACTATAGTATAAGAAGGCAGCACACATTTTGTGGCCAATCACCCATAGTGGGTTGCAACAGTTTAAAAGGGGTCAACCAACCAACGCTTGATCCTACCGAGTTTGCATAGCCCTGCGGTGCGGCTAGTTGTGCTTACGGTAACATACCGCTAACTCAGTTCACCCTTTGACTGATGATCCTGTCAACCTATCAAAGCACTAATTGACCTCGCCCAAAACTGCCCAAAACTACGAAGGGTAGAGGAAAGTTCACAATTATTAAGGTTCATTGAAACATTCAATCAGCCTTAAACTGAATTAAAATACCCTGCATGCGTTTTTTTTTTTCCTCTCATCACCTCTATGGTAGCAGAAACATCATGGAAGATAATTGCACCGGCAGATGTGGTGTCTTAAACCAGTTCAAGTGTGCAGTAGCAGAATGCCAGACGGCACAGGGAGCGGGAAGCAAACACTTTTGACGTGGCACAGCCGTGACCCAATTATTTCGCTGCCCACTAAGCAGGGACAAGTCGAGGAACTGTAAAATGTTGTTACCCCAGGAAACGACGTGTATCTATTGGTATGTTCAAATATGCAGCGGTTCGCGATCGTGTTAAACTACGTGCTAGCGGGCTTTGGAAGAGCGTTTGGTTTTGCGCTGGCTCTCGACGGCTATCTTCTCTGACGGCCGTGCGGCGGCGCGCCAGTCGCAGCCCACAGAGTGTATAGCACTTTTTGCTGCTGTGAAACCACCTTTACAGGGTGTTTTATCGATTCTTTTGTTTTTATTCGTTCATTTGGAATACTTAGAAATTTTTAATAATTCAGATTCGTGCTAAAGTGAATTTGAATACTGAGGTATTCATTGGAATATTTGAAGTGCTCGAGCATTCACACATGCTATATGTCATTAGAATAAGTCAATACTTTCTCAGATGTCCCTTTGCTTTTTTTTATTTCCCCTCATATATGAGTTGCTTGTGCATTGAGGATATGGGAATATTGACAAATCTGAAGTATTTGATTCTTATAAGCAATGCGCCCTTATACCCGATGTTGTGATGAGTGAATTACACTGCACTGCATGTTTTTATGGCAAGCCCAGCATCGGCTGTGCCCAGGAGCACAAGCTGCAATTTGCAGAATACTGTGAAGAATGACCAAAATTATGCTTTGAGTTCTGGTCTGCTGTGGTAAAGGATTTCATTGGCGCTGATGGCAGCAGTCGTTTCGCAATCAATCCGCATGAAAAAGCCTTTTCGGTGGAATGAACTGGATTAGTTTGATTCACTACAGTGGGTTGCCGACGTCGCTTGAACGACCACCATTGGCAACTGTGGAGCGACTTGACACTACCAGTGTTGCCTTGGCCAAGTGCTGTCAGCACTGGCAAATACATGAAGTGTGGAAGAGATGGGAGGCTTGCAACGCCCTCACGGCTATTTGCGGCTTATTTGTTTCAGCTGCTAAGGATTGCCATGGACGTGGGAAAGCCTACCAAATCTGGTGAGTCGGCAGCTGCAGTGCCTTCTTTCTGTTACCTTGTCAGAGGTTGGGCAGAGTGTCAACACAGTGTGAATGAATGGTCAGCGTTGCCACTCTGGTCAATGTTTTCCATCAAAACTATTATCTGTGTAGTAAACCGTGGCACGTGAAACTGATATCGGACGTGCAATTCTCAACTGTGCCTTTGATCGGTATTGCCAGACTTTTCTTTTTGAGAATGTAGTTGAACTGAGACAATAAAGTCGCTAAATATTTAACAGCGGAGCTGTTTAAAGGGTACTGGCACGAAATTTTTAGTTTCTCGTTTTCTTGGGTTAAATGAAACGTCAAGCTCTGAAGAGACTAGCAAAGGTACTGCTAAGTGCAATGCGCTCACTGAAAAAGAAATTGCGGCATGTTTTCGAAGGCTAGTTTTGGTTTCTCCTGTACTCTGGCGTCGCGACCTGCTACGAGCTTCTCGTCATGTGCTTGTACAAGATGTAGTGATGCTTCAATCACTGCACGGCCCGGTGGCATCATTGATGACATAACAGCAGCCATCTTGGAAATATTAGTGCCCGACTTCATTATAACTGCAGCGTAAAGCCACGAGAATTAGTACTGTAGCCTGATGTCAAGTTAGTGTTTGTAGGTGCACTATGATAAAATTGACTTTAATATCAAAATCAAACATCTTATCGGCATTTGCTGAGCATCACACTTGCTCAGACTTGGCTCTGTATACAGAAGACGGCAGAGTAAACTCGCCCTTGAAAAAAAGGGCGTCAGTGCCCCTTCAAGCTTGGAGAATCCCCATAAATTGGGAAGAAAACTTATCATCATGAACTGGCACACCCTCACTTCATACACATGCGTCAACTTGTGTCCGGCCAGCACCTCTTTTATTTTGCAATGCCAATAGATGCATCCAAACTACCAATTCACCACCCTTTCCTCTCGTCTTTTCCTGCACTCCCCTCATGGATTAGCCTTCCTGCATGAGGGAGAGACATCCTAGGTAGTGCCCCATGACTGAAGTCAGATGAGGTGATTATTTGTTCAGTTTTCTTCATATCCGTGGTGCAACATCTCGCTTCCCTCGTGATTAAATCTACTTTCCCTGTGGACAGTGACGTCGTATGCATACATAGAGCAGGAAGGAACTTAGCATGACGCCTAAGCAGAAAAAACAATTTAGGGAAGGGAAAGCACATGCTAAATCGCATGATTGCAGTCTCCCAATTGGAGGTGCTGAACAGAAAGAAGTCGCATCGATCAAAGGATGGCAGTAGTTTTCCTTTTTCTAAGGCAGAGAGGCTCTACTCATGACCGCTGTGTTTGCTGTCACGCTGGCTCTCTAAAAGGCCCCGCCGCGGTGGTCTAGTGGCTAAGGTACTCGGCTGCTGACCCGCAGGGCGCGGGTTCGAATTCCGGCTGCGGCGGCTGCATTTCCGATGGAGGCGGAAATGTTGTAGGCCCGTGTGCTCAGATTTGGGTGCACGTTAAAGAACCCCAGGTGGTCTAAATCTCCGGAGCCCTCCACTACGGCGTCTCTCATAATCATATAGTGGTTTTGGGACGTTAAACCCAACATATCTGGCTCTCTAAAAGACACACTATTGTGAGATGGTTGTGTCTCTGCTTGTGGTGCTATGTGGGCACCCAATGGGGACGCGTCACTGCAATGCTGCTGCATGCGCGGGCTTCGAGGTGCGTCACGCGGGTGCTCTGATGTGGTGGCTGCATTGCATCGAGCTCAAAAAGGGAAAACTACGAAGGGATGAACCTAACAGGCTCACGAAATAAGACGAGGACAGCGCTTCAATAGCATCTCCCGAGAAACGTGTTCAAACACTTGTGTAACACAACCAGTCATGCCCTTTAGGTGACCTCGCGTCGCAATCAGGAACTCCCTGAATTATGGCAGACCATAACAAGCATTTATACCGACATAGAAAAAAAAAAATAGAGGAGGAGTGGTCTTGTATATAATGCAATGACATGTTGCAATGACGTGACATGTTCTTCCAAAATGACGTAACACCAGTCGCATGACATAAAATCACGCAACACTCGTCACGTGACATCGGATGACATGTTCCCACCACAGTTATGCAACAATAGTCTTGAGACATGTTATCACTGAATTCATGTAGCACCAGTCACGTGCCATATTTCTGCCAAATCCAGTGGGGCAGGGGCACTGGCCTTGGAGGGCAGCTTCTTCCTCGGGAGTCCAAACACTAGTTGTGCTGTTTGTTCTAGCATTACACCGCTAGTGCAAGCTGCACACATCTTTTTTTTTTATGTGTAAAGCAAAATCTCGCTGCTACTGTACCTGCTGGGAATGCACCATAGCTTAGAATAAGCGATACTACACAGTACCTGTCTAGTGCATATTCGCATCTCCTGACATCTGCTGCAGCTACAAACAGAGAAATGATTGTAATGCCAGAGCAAACGTTGTCTAAAGCACCCACTACAAGCATTTTTCTTTCTTTTTGCCCAAGCACAAAAAGAACTCAGTCTCTCTCACACGACTACGTGATAGCACGCACTGACAATGCCAAGGATAACTTTGGTAGTATAATAGACATTATATGTGTCTTCTCTTGTGGGGTCCCTTTAAAATTCCTGCAATAAGTTTTCTTTGTAGACATACTAAAATGGCACAGATTCACGTTTTACTGCCCCGCTGCTATTTTGAATTGATGCTAAAAGAGACCGACAACTGTCAGAACGTAAAATGAGATGACTCCACTGATGGAAAGATTGTCTGTCGCATTGACTCAAACCAACCGTCTTTTTTTCGCGAGATGTAGATGTATATTTTTAATTCCTTATTGAAAGCCGCGAAAAATGTGCTGTGGCGCTTCTGGTGACGAGGACAGGGATGTCAGGTGAGTAAATCTTGTCTTGCACTGCAGTAACTCCTTAGTGAAAAGTATCAGCTGTTTTTCATGATTTTGAAGCGTGAATAGATAAACTGCATGTGTTTTAGGGAAACCTGTGTGATTCACATGGTCCATATTGGGTGTCTTGGCATAGCAGTAGTGCGGGGGCTGTTCGGCCTGTAGTGGTTGCATCGTGTTGCTGGGGGCTGTCCGGCTTTTCGTTCTGCCATGTGGTGACACCGAAAAAATATCAGCATCATGAACTGGCGGGCGCCCTATTCGTCCCCTTCATCAACTTTGTCCTTTTCTACTTCTGCGTCACTGTCACAAAATGTGCGCCACTTGGCACGCCGTGGAATGCAATAACTCTGATGAGCGAAAGAACGGGTTGACAGAAAGAAAGAATGAAAGAGATAAAGACAAACACAGAATAAACACGAAAATGATAGAAAGAAGGGAACGGATGCAAGGAAACAGATAGAAAAAAGACTGAGCAAGCGTAGCCTTGTATAATATAACATAACATAGCAAGAGGTTGGAAATGGAAGTGAGCGACAGGAGGAGGGCAATGGCACCAGCTCCGCTGCTTCTTCTGTCTTTGCGCCACCAGTGCATAGTTACCCCGATTTTATGTTCTAAAGTTAAGCAGAAGTGTCTCATGGCTGAGGAAGCACATGGGCTACTCTGGAGCTTGCCAGAGAACTCTAACAATACTGACGATGCGATGGCTGATGCTCTGAATCGGCATTGGCTCTCGGAAAGTTGTGGTTGTTTAGGGAGACCTAACCCATCTCATTGAAGTCTCATATTTCTTAGTGTGTGATGAAGCCAGGATATATGTAGGGCACTGTGTTTTTGGATAAATAAAAAAAATAAATACTCGCGGGTAAAATTTTTCACAATTTTCAGAATGCAGATTTATCCAATCAACTCCAATTTCAAAAGGGCATTTCCAATGTTCAAATGGTGTTTTAAAATCTGAGAGTCATCAATCAAATGGAGTACACCTCCATCAGTGGTAACAACCTCGTAAAAGTGTGTTTGTGTCTATTACAACATGCTTTAAAGGGACATTGAAAGAAAACAGTGACTTGGTTTATATCCCTGTCACATGGCAAATCTAATGTCATTTACTACGAATGACATTCGTTTGTAATGTCATTTGTTTGCTGTCACACTGGTAAAGTGATGCCACTTGACGAAAATGACATTTTCTGTCGAATGAGTTCCCGGAACACATTCACAATCGATTTCGGACCAGACGAGCAGTCTAGACGCCAGGGACTTAAGAGATATGACTGTTGTATACGTAAGTTTTGTCATTATTCTTTACTAGATCAACATATTACTGGTTTGGTGACATAATATCACGTGTGCAAGTCTCTTAAAAATAAAAAAAGCAACTCTAAACTACAGCGACTGGACGCCAACCATGTTTCATTTTTGTTCTGTTGTCGTTGTTGCCTGTATCGTGAATGTTGATTGTCTGATTTCACGTGTTTTGGTGGCTGAAGTGGTGGCTACACGAAATCGCTGCCGCCGTTTCATTTCTGCAGCCGGGAAGTCAGTCATGCGCCCCGTCTCAGTTCACTTAACTATACTCATGCCTGGTCATATTGTTGGCCATGTCGGTTTTCGAGAGGTTCGTGCAGCTGTGACAAGTTGTGTAAAACAGCCACTTTTATGTATTCTAGGAGCATCTTTTTACCCATGAAAATTATTTTTGTGGATACGCGCATGTTACATGCAAAGCTTTAGTACATTTTTATTTCTCCCGAAATCTACAGCTCAGGAGGGCTAAGGTCATGATCATCATTTCTAAATGACATTTGTTTTCGTCGCGGGACAGCATGAAGGTAAAAGGATATTAGGTCTGCTTAATGCCATTCATTGTTATTGGCATTAGATTTGCCATGTGACAGGAGTATTAGATTGATAAACTGCACCCTGAGAACTCTAATGCCATAAGTTTCACAGTCATGAGCTCATTATTAGCGGATGAATTAAGGTGAAAGTCTCATTTTTGAGTTTCATGTTCAAATCTCCGCGAGTGACGTAACAAACGTGAAAATGCATATTTGTATTTTCGTCACATTGGCTCAATGAAATTTTCTGAAACTTCATATG